AAATAATTTTTAAAAATGTTGTCAAAAGAGACTTTTGAGCGCTAGTGTACCTCTGCACGGTTTTCGATTTTTTACAGTTTTAAAAATGGAGTTGAATTTGCAACATCCGTGAATTTAAACGAATACCATCCAACAGTCATCGAATTCACCCGATATGGCTCCTTGCGATTTTTTTCTGTTCGATCGAGTCAAAAAACCACGGATGTTGCAAATTCAACTACATTTTTAAAACTGTAAAAAATCGAAAATCGTGCAGAGATAGATGTACTCAAGACGGCGTAACTTTTATAAATGTTAAGCTATGGCGATAAAATTTGGTGGAAAGGTCAATGATAGATGTGGCAACCTAACCAAAAAAACAGAACTCAAATCAGCTGACTCAGAGCATCACCTGGTGGTAATTCCGGGAACTTTTTGATCAAGGTGGTATACGTATCTACTTAAATAACAAAATAGTATAATTTATAAACTAAAATCTTATTAGGTCGAAACTTATTAAAGTTTCATGTTTTTGCAAAAACGATAAGAAAATGTGACGGTATTTTAAAACCGTATGATATAAGTATCACAGACATTTTGACAAAAACGGAAAAATCAATTTGCGAAAATACTTTAAATGCTTTTCTTGGAATCGTCGCTATTCAGGTAAAGAATACTTTACTACCTTTCATGCACATAAGTATATGTATATCATTACATATTTATCAATAAAACATACTATAAATATACATTTTTTTTAAATATCACTATACTGCATTAGAAATATTATAAATGGTCTACTAGAGTGATTAAATCACACTTTATTATTATATGAATAATAGATTTTTTAATATGCCGCGTCCGACTATATATTTAAAATTATTTATATATATTTGTAGATTGGATTAGTAGATCTCCTAACATCCTTAGGAATTACTCCCGATTACATGATTAGTCATTATGCCGGTGAACTTGGTTGCGCATACGCAGATGAATGTCTCACCATAGAACAAACTATTTTATCAGCATATTTTATTGGTATGGCATGTACCGAAAAAAAAAAAATTCATAGCTCAATGGTGATTGTCAATTTCGATTACGAGTATATTAAAAATATATGTCCAGCGGATATTGAAATAGTATGTCATAACGACAAGAACAGCAACGTCATGTGTGGACCATCAGAATCCGTACAAAAATTTATGAAAAAATTACAGGTATAATTAAAAATAGTACTTATACTTCATAAGGGAATAAGGAAAATTACTTAATTATTTTTAAAATATTGAAATATTAAATTCAAGCTATAATTCGTTAAAGCTATATATATTGTATTTTTATATAATTAGGTCAGTAATATTTACGTGAAGGAGATCTACTGCAATGTACCATATCACAGTTCTTACCTCGCACCGGCGGAAACTCAGCTTCTGCTTAATTTGAATAAAATAATACCACAGCCAAAAAAACGGAGTTCAAAATGGATCAGCACTTCTATACCTCGTACCGAATGGTTCACTTCAGCATCAAAATTATCATCGGCAGAGTATCACACTCGAAGTTTATTACACACTGTTCTATTTCAACAAACTGCGGATTTAATTCCAAGCAACGCTGTGGTCATTGAAATCGCACCAGACAATGCTTTGCAGCACAATTTGATAGGCTCCTTACATCCAAACGTAACGAATATTGTATTGACTCAACGGACTAAACAAAATATTGATATACTTTTACAAGGAATTGGGAAGCTCTACAATTGCGGTTTACAGCCACAAGTTGCTAATTTATATCCACCAGTCAAATTTCCAGTTAGCCGAGGAACTCCTATGATTTCTCCATCGATTAGGTAGATCAATCAAGTAGATTATCCTAATCGTAACTTATTGTTAGATGTCTATATAACAAAATGAAAATATATAAATTTACAATATATTATTAATTTTTAGAAAATTATTAGATATAAATATACAAAAATATCTATTTATATATATATATAAAATAATATCTATTTATTTTATACGCGTATAATTAATAATATATTATATGCATATACAGGGTGTCTCAGAAAACGCGTTTGTCTTTAAAATAATGTATTCCTGACGTGATTCTAAGACATTTCTTCCTTAGTCAAAATTTTATCCGAAGCTTAGTTTTTTAATTACAAGGGAAAAAGTTAGAAAATCACGGGTCGCGTACGGAAGGTAGGCAAAGGCGACGCAACTCATCGTCCGACGCGGGGCGCCCGATTGTAATCAGTTGCTTGCTACG